TCTGAGCTCGTTCATCTGTTCCCATAAGATCCGGCAGCGTGTATAGTAGTCGTTAACCGACATATCTCCTTGCTTCAGATTTTGAATCTCCACTTGCAGAGATGAGATCTGATGTGCATCTCGCTGAGAGAACCGCTTCTTTAGATCGTTCCACACTTCTCTCGCATTTTGAATGTGCATCACACTCTGCGCGATTGAGGGATGAACGGCTTTGTAGATCCATGAACATATCATAAGATTACACCTCCTCCAGGGTGAGTACTGCGCATGAGTTCTATCCGGTGCGGCTGTAGTGCCTTCTACGATGGTCCACTTGTTCTTCACCTCCAACGCAACTCTCATGGATACACTCCAGGTTCCATAGTTGGCGCTGCCTGTGAGGGGAGGACTGACGAGCACAGTGTTTGTGTTCTCATTGCTACTCAGGAACAGAGGGTTGTCTATGTCCTCCGACCTGTTGCTCCGCTACGGAGTCAGAGTTCTCTGGAAGTTGTTGCTCGGCGTGGTGCGATTAGGCGATTGATTAGCCGGCGGCGTTGACGGATGTGTCCTCTGGCCGGAATCTCCTGTGCTGGACATGACGGCGGCTGCGTAACTGCTTCTTCCCCGCTCTGATACCATATTAACGAACAGAACGAACAAAGAGATGTGATGTCATGTGGAAGGATTGTGACTGGAAGTTGAGAGGGAAAGATGAAAGCTGTATCATAACTGTCTAACTATCTCCAAGTTGTTTACACAATGTATATAAGGGAGAAAAGGTGGCGGTAAAAGCTGTTACACTAGGCAGATTACAAGAAAGTCCTTGTATGGAGAAATTACATAGATGGCCCTTGTGTGTTGTTGCTTGATACCAATAGGACAATAAAACTCTCACACGACTATCATGATTTGATTTAGCGTCATTGGATGCAATTTTTCACTCAAGAATTAATTGAGTTACCCGTGAACAGTGTTGTAAAAATCGGCGTAGCCGCTAGATACCCCTAGGTCGATGTAATTTCAGCCATAGGCGACTTTTAGTCGGCTGACCAACTAACTGGCCGACGAGGCGCGGAGGCCGAGTTGAGCGCCTAACTCGATCGAGTCGGTGCCTAACTTGGTCGAGTTGGAGTTCAACTCGATCGAGTGAATTTTTTGCTTGGTTGACTACTTAAGGTTTAATATGGAAGTTTTACTACGACGGAGTAAAACATTTTTGACAGTGATTAGTAAATGATTAATTAACCCGGGTAGGTGATCAATTAATGTAATGAATAATTAGAGGATGATTAGTAAAACATTTTTGACAGTGACAGAGCATAACGGAATTCTTATCTTGGGCAATAAACAAAAGAGTTGAAATTTGAGGATCTCCGTAGCCAGAATAGTCAAAACAATTCCAGAGAGATGTCACCCCATAAACGGAAATGGGTAATTCACACTAATGGGCCCCACCTCCTCGTTTCCCATTTTCCCCCTTGAAGGCCAAGTGTCACTGTTATATACATTTATGCTAAAACGTTATAATTAATTACTTAATTAAAATTTAACGGCTTAAAAATAATTAGGTATAAATGAAATTTTTATGGTTACCGGCGAGGCCGCGAGGGTTATGAACCGAACCGACATTTCTACGATATTTCGATATGGTATCCTGATTTTTTTGGTCTTTTATTAAATTTATTTATTAATTTATTAATTAAAAATAAAACAAAAAATTACGATTATAAAATCACCACCGACATCGGGAGTTACAAGTAAATGATATTCCTTCAAATACTAGAGTGGCATTTCCGTAATATAAACTGCAAAGAGAAAGAAAAAGGGAAAAGCCCAAAGTGAGAACGCTCTGCGGGGCCCATTACGAAAACGCAATTTCTTTTCCAACCGCAATCAACGGCCTGCGCCGAAAAAGTGAAACAATAAAAATAAAAAAAAAAAGTAACCAATTTTATAAATTACGTACGAATTATGTTTTTTTGTTTATGTAAAAAAAAAAAAAAAAAAAAAAAGAAGCCGTACTGCAAATGTTATTATTCTATGGCGAGAGTGGGAACGCAGGAAATTTGAACACGTCATTAATAAGTCAAAAAGCAAATCTCCGCGATCACCGGCTCCCGCCGGTTTTGTCACGGTAATGTCCGAGGTTCCTCCCACCGGAGCAACCGGAACTCCGGCATTATAAAATCAAGCACCAAATATACAATGAAGTTTGGCAGCGGAAATTTAGCAATTTGGTTAGTTCAGATTCACATCACATTTTTCCATATGGATTTTGCTAAAAAAGATTTTTTTAAGTTTTAGACTACAGGTGTATAATGCATCTTGTATTAATAAAATGCTATGAACAATGTAGCTAAAATGAGTGGTCTAGTTTGGTTTGCTTTTATATGAACAAGTTTTAGAATTAGGGATGGCAATGGGTCGGGTGTGGGTCGGGGAGAGCTACATCCATCACCCGACCCACCTTATATTTTCTCCACCCATCCCCACCTCTAACCCGCATCGGGTGAGCTTTTTTAGAACCCACCCCTACCCCCACCGGGTGCGGGTGCCCACAACGGGTACCCACCACTTATCATCTTATTATGTTTTTCAAAATAATATTTAAATTATTTACACACAATAAAAAAAATAAAATCCATTAGTGATACTAAAACATAAATAATGGAAATATTTAAATATAATAACTAAATTGTTAATTTTTAAAAATAAACTTAATAGTTTTGATATAAAAAATAGTAAAAAGATATACGAAGTTATATAAACTATTATAAATAACTATATACTAGCACTTATTTTACTATTATATATATATATATATATATATATATATATATATATATATATATATATATATATATATATATATATATATATATATATACACACATGGTGGGTCGGGTGGGGTTCTAGGCGGGTCTTGTACATAGAACCCGAATCCAACCCAACCCACTGCGAGTTTTCTTTTTTAAGATTCACCCCCGACCCACCACCCACCATCACCCAAAAAAATCCGATCCATGCTGGGTGGATATCCACGGGTCGGATTGAAATTGCATCCCTATTTAGAATGATGGAGTTAGAGATGAAGTGTCTCATACCAACCAATGAAATTTTGTAAGAATTTAATGAGCTATTGTTCTTTGTAAACATTATGAAGGGTATAAGGTAAAGTTGTATAAGTGATATGTTTCGTCAAAACTAGTTTTGTTCTATTAAACACATTCATAGACAACCAAACATATGTGCAAATTGATTGGTGTAAAGTTTATGAAGTCAGAGTACGCGTACTTTCAATTTGCATATTCTTGATAACCTACCCAAAGGAATTGCTCAGTTACTTGTTGAATATGTTATAGTGGTGGGCAATTCCAATCAAATTAGTCGGACAGTTGACTTGGTAATCATAAGCTTTCAACTTCGACTCCCTAGTCCCTATAGAAGCTATCTATTGGCCTTCACAGCTTGAGTCGATCAGTTATGGATAATTTGATACAAAATATGATTTACCTTGTCCGAACCTTTGCCGATTAGAGACACAAAACGAACTAGCACCTTTTCTTTTTGTTATACACAAAAAAAATCACTTAATGCATTAGGGTCCGTCTAGATTTTTTTTTGTTGTCAAATCATATAAAATTAAATATCACTTAATAATACCTAGGGCCCTTGTTAACAGTTTTATTTGTTACGTAATAGCACCAATTAGTGTTGCATTACGTTTCGATCGAAAAGTACAAATTAGAAGTGGCATGTGTTGCGAGAACCATTTACTTTTTTCTTTGCTAGTGCATTTCTTCTTCTCCCAAATACAATCACCGAGTTAAGCTCGTGCGGGCTCTACTAATGCATTTCTTGATATTGCGGGTAATCCTACCATCGTTTACATTTGGTCATTCTTTGATTTTATTTTATTTTTTACTTTTTTTTTTTAATACATACTAGTTCTAAACTTCCAAAATCTCTATCCAAGAACACTAGAAGAGGTAAATCACAAGTAGCTAAATCAATCATTCTTTGGTTCATAGCAATGCCTTTTCTCGGATCTTCAAGTGAAATTAATGTTAATTTTAAAAGAGTTTTGTTCAATTACCAAATGCCAACTTGTGTGATCTCCACCTACACCTTAAATGTGGAAGCAACGGCGCCTCTTCCTCGCAATTTCCCATTATCATTTGCCATGACTTCTATGTACGGACACCAGCAGTAGTTAACTGCATGTATTCAACCACTATTGCTTGTTGTACCACTTTTTTTTTTTTTTTTTTTTTTTTTTTAAACCTTTTCTATGGCCATTATCACTCTGCTATAAAACAATAAAAGAGACACTATAAGATAAACTTTTTTAAAATTAATATGATAATGTTATATTAAAAAATAATAACACATAGGTACTTTTATTTAAGGAATAAAATAGAGTGATTGATCTCCTAATTGGATTTCCCTCCACCATGACCGTGGAAGTGATTAACAATCCTCATTCCCTTGTACCAGTATTGTTAGATGATTGGTCCCGGGACATAGCTCAGTGGAAAAAATTTGAGTATAGTAGTGGTGGTCAGCAAATGCCAAAGTGTAAACCCTGCAAGGGGTAAGATCTTGTGAAATAAGTAATTGCTCAGACTGTTGCGCCATTGAGGCACATCTCGCAATTTACATCATCTCACAAGCTCTCCAAGGCAAGAGACATGAGGATGGAACCCTTGTTTGAGGTTTAAACTTAGTATTGCTGGGTGATATTTTGGAACCTTCGCAGCTCAAAGGAACTTTGGTGGGGATGAGTTAATGTCTTTTTTCGAGGTGTGTCTCTTCCTACTTGTTTTTTAAAGGTGCATAATAATTGTAGTGTACATTAATTTTGAAAAATAAAATTGTTATACAATGATAAAGTATGAATAAATGCATATAATGATTCCATTTTTAGATGGCATGACAATATAGAAATATTCTATAATTAGTGGTTGAGTTGAGTGTTTTTTTTTTGGGTAGGGGGAAGGGCCATAGGTCCCGGGAGGTTAATAAAATCTTCTCACAACTATGCCATTAGCGTCACGATTCAGCATTTGGATGATCTCTTCAGGAGGGTGCCGGAGGATATTAGTGGCCCACTGGGAGTCTTGGCCCATATTTGCGAAGTAGTCTGTGCACTGGTTCCCTTCTCTAAAGATGTGTTTGAACTCAAAAGCATAAAAACCATGCATAAGGGTCTTACAGTCGTTAATGAGAGTATCAACCTCCACGGTTGTCTCAGCGTTCTTGCTTAGGGCTTGAACAACCGCCAACGAATCAGTTTCTGTCTCCACTCGGTCGAAATCATGGTGCTTTGCTAAACGGAGGCCTTTTTGTAGCCCCCAGAGTTCAGATGCGAAACTAATCTTCGTCATCAATCCTATCACTCACTTGCCAATCTGAGGACGGTGCAGGAAAAAATTAATAAATTAATTTGCAATATTCAATGTGCTTTACCAAAGTTTCAATACTACACGTGCTGCAGAATTTGATTTTTTTTTTTAAATGAATTTTTAATCCACAGTTATTCATTACTAGCTGTTTTAGTTCATATATAAATTATTTATCGTTGCAATATATACTCTCTTAACTCTTAAAAAATAACCCATGAAAGAATTAAACTATTAAATTCTATTAAAAATTTATTAGCTTTATTATTTATAATTTTTTCGATTTTGTTATTTTATATGTGTTTATATTACGGAGTACTTTTTAACTAATTTGTTCATTTGTTTACTATTAATAATTTCATTTTTAGGAGGCTCGGTGCTATTGAACCATTTTGTAAAACTATGATCGAGTTGACTGTTTATATTATTGCGTTTTAACTAGTTTTTTTTTTTTTATTTAGAATATATCCACCATATTTGGGAGTGACGAAAAATGTTAAGACGCCCGCACGAGCTTAGCTCACGGGTTCGATAAGTAATATTTGAGAGAAGAAACCGTTTGAACCTCGACAGTCGGCAACCACAGCTAGGATAGGAATTATGTTCAAAGTGAGAAGATCCATTGTGCGCACTGGTATTTGATCATGTCCCTGTTTACCGAACCATTGAGTTACCGTAATTTACCTTCTCTCAAATGTTCTATCAAGTCGATCGGGGTGTGGGGAGCCCTTAAGGTTCGGGATTCCACTTTTGGGAGAAGAATAATGTTAAGAAGTGTGTATTTGAAGTGGAAATTTCCTGCACCGTCCTCTTGCGGGAGACATGGGAACGGAGAGAACATCATGTGAAGTTGTTCGACTCATCAACCTTAGTTGTCTTGGGGTACATTGGGTTCCTTAAAACAGAATGACAGCCACATGATCGAATTTTCACCAATCAAATTTCAAATCCAAATCAACAGAATTACACTTGTCACATATTTAAATTTATTGAAAAATGTGTGTAATATTATTCAATTAATTTTTTTTGAGTTAATACCCAAAATCGTCCTCGACTATAGTGGTTTTTCTCAATTTCGTCCTAAACGACTTTGGTGACCTAATATCGTCCCAGACTTTTATATTTCGCTCAATTTTGTCCCATACTTTTGTGTTTTTGCTCAATTTAGTCCCTCATTTGTTATTCTATCCATTTGGTGTTAAATAAATAGACAATTAAATAATTTTAATATTGGCATCTCTTTACTCATAGACATGTGAACTGCGAAATCTTTTTTTTTTTTACGAATTAGTCCCAGAATTACTCCTAAAACTGCAAATATAAAATTTGATTTGCAGGTCCGGGAGTAATTCTCGGTGTAATTCGTACAAGAAAGAGGAATTTCGCACTTCACAAGTTGAAAGTAAAGAGAGATCAATATTGACATTACTGAATTGTCCCTAAATTTAACACCAATTTGATGGAATAACAAATGGAGGACTAAATTGAGCGAAACACAAAAATCTGGGATGATATTAGGTCACCAAAGTCGTTTAGGACGAAATTGAGAAAAACCACTATAGTCGAGGACGATTTTGGGTATTAACTCAATTTTTTTTTTTTTTTTTAAAGTCCATTGATAGCGCAAATGGTCTAGTGTTGTATGCCACCTCTATATAGTAGAGAAAATGAGTGAGATGGAAGTGATTTTATAGATTAAAATGCTTTAGTATTGTATTCACAAGTAATCAAGGTCAGAAACTTTGACTAAAGTCGAGAAATATACTAAAGAGGTGAAGTTTTATTTTTATAGCGTTAAATGAATGAACACTTGTTGAGATCTCACCGACACATCTGATATGTGGCTCCTCGGCAATGGTCAACCAGGTCAAAGGAAGCTACACATATGCATATGAGTAACCAGTTTGACCTCAGAGACATTGACACATGAGTAGGCGAGTAGCCATTCTCTAACACTTCAAATGCTTAATTGAATTACGTTAAAAAAAAAAAAAAAATCCTTGTTTTCTATTCATGCATTAGCGTTGGTTCTCTTGAAAAATAGCGTTGGTTCTCTTGAAAAATAAATATTCTCTAACAACATAAACTCAAAAAAAAATAACTATAAAAACTTAAAAAGAAAAATGTTATTTAATGTGACAGGTGAACTGATGGAGTGGTTACATGTGCCAATTAATTTTAAACCTTTCCCTGGCATGGGTCTCTATCTTCCCTTGTTTAGGGGCCGACATCCCTCACGGTGCACGCCATAGGCACCACTCTTTTTTTTCACATCATTGCCCATGCATCTTCCTAACATAGCCAATGTGAATTGAATTTTAAAAACTGTACCTCTTATCACTATTACCGTACTTTGATAGTAATAAATTAATTTGCAATATTCAATGTGCTTTACCAAAGTTTCTATACTACACGTGCTGCACAATTTGATTTTTAGAAAAAAAAAATGAATTTTTAATCCACAGTTATTCATTACTAGCTGTTTTAGCTCATATATAAATTATTTATCGTTGCAATATATACTCTCTTAACTCTTAAAAAATAACCCATGAAAGAATAAAACTATTAAACTCTAAAAATTTATTATCTTTATTATTTATAACTTTTTCAGTTTTGTTATTTTATATGTAAAATAAAAAATTGACAACCTTCTTCCCTAAATTTTTCATCTTCAATTGTGGTACTTCAATTCGTCCCTATCTTTTTTTTTTTTTTTTTTTATACGAACTTGTTAAAATTAAATTTTTTATTTTACAAAAGAAATATCACGATTAAAGAATAATATAATTAAATAAGAAACATTAAAAAGTACTAAAATATACATGTACTAAGTAAATTTTAATAGACTTTAATAGTTTTAATTTCTTGCTCCACGGATTAAAACAACAACTTTTTTAAAAAGTTAGGGGTGTATATTACAACGTTAGGGACTAAAATGACTAACACGGAATAATTGAGAGACTAAAAATATATTTTTTTTCCTTAATTTTATTTAAAAAAATGGAATATCATGTCTCTTACTTATCTCTTAGGCATACACTCAATCTTTCAATTACGTAATATCATTATATCTACGGACAACCCAACCGAATTAGTCAGGATGTTGTCTTTGTAACCACAATGTTCTAAGTTTGATTCCTAGTGAGAGCGATCTATTTGCCTTCTCGAATTGATCCAATCAACTATGGATAGTTTAGAACGATTTATTTCCATGTAATTTTTCATCAATTAGAGTCAAAAGCCGGACTTCATCCAGAGTGTACTTTCTGGCAGCAGTTGCAAACTTTTCTCTATTTTTTTAATCAATTATTTTAAAGTGTCGGTTTTGACTTTTTTATTTTTGTTACTATTTCGTTAAATTGGGACAAAAAATTAATTAAGAAAAAAAAAAACTTAATTTAATGGGTTAAACATGTCAATCCGTTAAGACATGAACGGCAAATTATGCATTGTGCGTCCTAGTTCAAAATATCGTTTTGTACATTTTTACGTGTCTACTATTAACTTTTTTTTAAAAATAAAATTTTATGTTTCGAATGTATAGAATTGTATAATAGAATGTACAGAATTTTATAACAAAATACACATAAATTTTTTTGAAAGGATAATACATATAATCTAACATAATACACATAAACTCTTAACATACACATAAACTGTTAACTTTTTTTAAAAAAATTCCATGTTTCGAATGTACAGAATTATATAATAGAATGTACAAAATGTACAGAATTTTATAACAGAATACACATAATTTTTTTTTGAAAGGATAATACACATAATCTAACATAATACATAATACACATAAACTCTTAACTCTTTAAAAAAAAATCTCATGTTTCGAATGTACAGAATTGTATAACAGAATGTACAGAATTTTATAACAGAATATACAGAATTTTAAAACAGAATATGCAGAATTTTATAACAGAATACACATACACTTCATCGCATCAATTCCCTACACAACTTAACAAACAACATTGTTTTAGAAGGCGCAGGGCACATATTGCTATGTGCGCCGTGGTGCACGGTATAACGACCGGACATCAACATACCTAACACATATTGATCATAATTGTAAATGGATTGCGTTAAAAATTGCAAGATATTCTTGACATAAAAAAATGTTTTGTTTTGTTTTAATTTTTTTTTAAAATTTTTATTTTTATCAATTTTACTTTAAAATGCAATAAAAGCAAAAAGGATAGAGTTTATATAATAGTATAAATAGGAATGTTACTTATATCCTAAGGATCAAAAGGGTAACAAGCTCTAAATAAAGTAAAAGTAAAAGATAAAAAAAGAAGCATTAGAAAAATAGTTAGGCTAGAAGTTGTTACTTGTTATAGTGGTAAAGGTAGGTGCAGAATGCAAAAAACGAGCAGATGAGAGCAGAAGCAGCTCAACCAATTGGAAGTAAATGTTAAAGGACAGCGTGGGAAGACGACTGCTCAGAATGCTTCAGTAAATATAAATTAATTTTATTGCATCAACCCAACCCACCGTCCAATGTCTGGTGGTAGTAGACTAGTAGTTACGTTTGGTGAAAACACAAATGTGGAATTAGGTTTCACACACTTTAAAAATATTAGGGAGCAAGTGTAATAGTACTCTACATACTAATTATGTGTAAAAATGCTAGGGTTTCTTTCATTTTGTAATAGTCCGTATTCTTATTATTCGGTATTACTGTATTAGTGGGATTATATGTTGATAATGCTAGTCTTTGGTCCACAAAACAAATATTGTCGTGGTTGTAGTTCATTCACATTTATTCCCATCTTTGATCTCCATACCGATGTCATAGTATCCCTAAAAAACATAAACTTTGTAAGTTTGTCCGTAGCCAAACGCCCCACGGTATAAAACTCATGTTCCCCTTCCAAAACTCTCAACAGAACGTTATCAATCTGGTGAACCTCTTCTCCATCCTCCAAATCCGCCAGAGTAATGTTAGCCACCGTCTGGATGATGCATTAGCG